CCATCATACTTCTGCTTATCATTGATTCTAAAGGCAGAGGATCCCAGTGTCTGGTGGGGGAAATCAACAGCAGAACGCATCTCTACTTGCAGCCTAAGCTTCAAGATCAGCGCTACAAAACTTCAGGCCTGGGATCTCAGTTTCCACCTTGTAGTTTCTCAGATTATCCTGGCCCTGTCCCTTCCTGACCACTTTGTAATTCCCATGATTTTGTGCAGTTAAAATGTTCAGATGCTTAAACTAAGACTCAGTTGCTGGCACTAAGAGTGTCAAGTTATAATATGCTGTGTGTATGAGTGTGCTTGTGTTCTTTGGCCCCTGCCTCTTTTGCCTTCTTACTTGCTCCAGAACTGAATCCGGCCTTTGTCCCCTCCCATTTTAAATGAAAGATTGGCAGCTTGGCACCCTCCAGACACCTTGGTCTTGGGCTCCCCTAACCCCATCCAGCACAGACAGTGCTCTGAGATTACAGGAGGTGGAACATTTGGGGTGCACCAAGTGGCCCACGTCTGTTTTAGATTGTGCCCAAAGGGGCTGTGCTTGTTTAAGAGGAAATACGATGCACTGATTCACTACAACAGAGGCACCTATGAGGGGCTAGTCAGCATAGATCTTCTCATAACGTACCTACATCAACAAATGAGCCTAGTAAGCAGTGCATGCTGTGGAAGGAAGCTTAACCAAACTGTACTTTCCTTTTACAGGTTATTTCCTGTGCCTGCATGTACGTTTGGTAGCAAAACACCGTATCATGAAAAGGAGACGCCCTTGAAGCAGGTTTGCTCATGCATGCAAGGACCAGCACACAAGGTGCTGCCTTATTCCCGGTGGGGTTGTTGTCCGGTATTTTCAGCTCTGGCCAGCTGCAGCCCTCCATGATCTCTGGTGGAGGCTTTTCCCATCATCTGAAGTTGGGGATGCCAACAGCTGGGCCGGAGACTGCTTGCATCCAAGCGATGCGCTCTGCCCTCTGAGCTGGGTGTCCTTCGCTTGCTCGCTCAGTACTGCAGGACTTGCAGAGTCATCGCTTGACACAGCACTGAGTGTAAGCTGCAAGGTCATTGCTTGACATTGCAGTAAACACAAGTCACAAAGTCCTCACTCGATGCTGGTCCAGGAGTGATAAATATCAACTGCAGCAAAGTCCTCGCTTGACACAGCACTAAATGTGAACTGCATCGTCATGACTCAAGACTGCAGACTGGGAAGGATCAGCATGTAGGAACCCTCCCTTGGTCCATCCTCCACAGGCCTCAGTTGGGCATCATTGTCCAGCAACCACTTTTGGCATCCCGAAGCCAGGCTTTCTGGCTCCTACGACCAGTTCTGTGTTTTCCTGAAGCATATAACCTGAACAATATTTCAGTGGGACTTCCATGATGCATAAGGAATTCTGTAAGTGTGAAGCATTCTTGGTGTGTGAGCCAAATCTTTGGGTGGTTTGCTCGCAACAAGCTCCAGCATCCTTGGAATAAGATTTGAATGCTACTGATTCACACAGCATGTAGCATAATGTAATCAATACAAGATGCTGCATATAAATAAACTGTTTAGATTCTCACATGTTGTAGGATTAGAGAGGGCATCATTCCCAGCAGTACTCCCCCTCCCTCAGAGTTCACACCTTTTAAGGGGAAATGGTTGCAAAGTATTAATTTTAAGCCAGTAGTGAAAGCTTATGTTATTCCTTTTTCAGCGATATACATAGTGCTCTTTTTGTATACTATTAACTATGGACATATGTTTTTCATCTGACTATGCTACTTACACACTAGATTCTTTTAAAATATCTATATCTATATCCCTCTATATATGTAAGATATAACAGCTGTCACAGGAATATTTTTAGATCACTGAAACTACTAACACGAGCTGTTTGAATCTGGTGGATGAGGAAAAATCTGATCTGTTTGCCATATTCACAAATGGATAAGCTGGATGGGAAGCAGGAAATCCCTAGAATATATTGTTATTTCTAGCTATTTCTAAACTTTTCCGCTTTAGCCTCTTGGTTTGACTCAGAATCTGTTTGTTAAAGTTAATGAAATGTTGACAGCTCTACATGAATATCATTATTAGAGAAACACCCAAGAATTGGCAAGCTGAATTACAAAAGGTCTTTCCAAAAGTGAGCAAACAGTTTGCACAAGAATTCGACAACAGTGTACATCAGATTAGTGTTCATGAATGACAGGAAAACTTCAGCTCAACTGGCTTTAGGGTTTCAAACTCTGAATTAGATTTATTTGTCTTTTCTGTACTCAGCCTCATGTATATAGAGATGTATAAAAAGTTTTCCCAATGTTTCCATGCAACAAGCCTATGGCAATTTTTCAGCTGTGTTTATCCTCAACTCTTGTTCTCTCATCTTCCTTCCTTCTTTCCTTCCTTCCATAAAATATACACTACAGATTGGAAGGGGCAGAGTTTAATAAGCAGCCAGTGCAGAGTCATTCCATGTAATCTGCGTGGATGGAAATTGTTTGAATTATAAAGGTATGTATTGATATGAGCATTTATGACCATGTCTACCCATACAAAATACACACAACCTTAGAAACACCATGGTAAAAACAAGTAGAATTTGGAGTGGAATTCTTTTGTTCAGGATTCCAGACTATCCCTTCTATTCCCCACACTCTCCTTTTCTGGGTCTCCACACACCAAGAATCAGCGTTCCGTACCCATTAAGTGTGCCCAGGCTTCATTGTGTATTTTTTGGGATAGTTTTCTCAGTAAACTTTTTTGTATTTCTGCAAATTTGGGGAGTCCCCCAGAACCTGCTGATCCTTTCCACTTGTGTGGCTAGAACAAAATTGCCTAACAGGGACCAGCACTTGGCCAACTGAGAACATATTTAGTGTACATGAGAGTGGCAAAAGAGCAAAACGGAGTAAGAACAAGATATGGCAGTAAAAACAATACCACTAAAGGCTACGACATAAATCCATCAAGGACAAAATAAAATAACTTGAGCAGCCCACCAAAAGGCTTGCAGCTTGGGGTGATGTTTCCCTCCAGGAGGCAAAGCGTTTCCACATCCTCAAAGTGAAATGCACAGTAGAGTTCTGAAAGCTCAGCTCCATTGCCTCTGGCACATTACAAGCGTATTGTATGCAGCGATCTCTGAACTGGAACTGCCTCTGTTAACGCTTGGACCATGCGCATGTGTGGTCTTGCCCAAAGGTCCATTGCCCACAGGTCTTTCTGGTTTCTATGAGGCTTACCTTAACATTTTTCAAATGGCTTTTTGCATACATGGCCATTTGCTTTAACAAGCATATGCTCTTCCAACTGTGCAGGACCTGTCTTTCCGCATCTCAGATTGTGTGCCTGAAGCATTTCCTAATGAGTTGACTCAGGCACTGAATCAAATGCACAAGAGCCAAGCTGCCTGCCTATTTGGTGCAAAGCAAAGAGGTTCCGGGGAACTCATTAAGTTCCAGTCATGTGAATCATTATTGAAAGTAAATGTTGGGTTAGATCATAGAGGTCTTTCCCTAACAACAAATTGCATTATATTACTTTCAGTTGAATGAGAAGTATATCGAGAAGGGGCCCTTATTAGTTGAGGGCCATCTCCCAAGAACATCAGGAAACGTAACCTGATCCCGTAATAATGCAATAAATCTCAAAACCACAACGATTTCAGGAACAAAGCAGAGTGCTAATGTGCTCATTAAAAAGACCTTTCATAGTTAGAGTTTACAACTGAAATAGCAATGATATTAATTGGGATCATTCCATTATTATAATTTACTTGTAGGCATCATAGATAGCAAGCATGTTTGCTTATTTTTAATTACACACACGAGTCTAGTTCAGCTTTTGCTACCTTCGTTTTTACACAGGGCTGTTTTCACTCTGTATGTACATGCAAGGCAGATTTAAGGCTGCCCTCCAGATGTAGGAATAAAATGGAGGGCTACTTCTCAGGACATACTTTCTTGGTACAGTTGCTAAGTCTGTTTGATGGGTATTTCTGATTGGGAATGAAAAGTTATGCTCCCTAATTTGGGAAACATCCAGTATATGTGCTCAGAAATTTGAATTTCAAAAAGTTTGCTCAATTTGACTTGCACGGATAATTAAAAACACTCCTAAATCTGAAGACTTCCTGAGATTTTTTTAAGGCACTCTATCTGGCAGCTTTTACTGCCTTCACATTCTTTTTGCCAAAGGAGCAAAACAAGTTCTCATGGTATTTTAGGGCGCAGCTGCAATCACACACAGTCCTAGAAAGAAGCCTCAATGAACTCAGTAGGGCTTACTTAAGCAGATGCTTTTGTAACTTCACTGCCATCTGACCAGTTACTCTCCTGTGTTCTGCTCTATGAAACAAAGCTGGGTCATAAGAAGGGCTTCAGATCAGTTGCAAAGCATCTCTTCGGCATGGAGAAGGTTCCACATGAATCCCGACATCGCCAAGCAGGGCTGAGCAATACTTTAGTCTGAAACCGGCAGAGCTACAGCCAGCCCCAAATACGGAGCTGGACCTCACTTGGTAAAAGGCCGCTTCCTGTGTGTGTCTCTGCAAGGATATTTTGACTTTCTTTGCCCAGTCAGGTCCCTTTAGTATGAACTCTAGGTACTTTTGTTCAAAGGGTGAGCACACCCTCATGTTGGTCAAAATTTATATTGAATACAACATTGCATTCCTGAAAGGAAGCAGCATACCCTAACAGCCCAAAACATTGTCTGCTGCATTCCTTCTCAACTCAGTTAGTTTTAACCAGGTTTAGTTAGCAGAAAGGCTAAACATGAGCTCAGGTGCTCACAAAGAATTCCAAACTGTGTCACTCACATTTTTAGTTCCTTCCCTCCATTACAAAGGCCTTTTATGCAGACATGAAGAATCTAAACACAGGGGCAGCCAAGCTTCAGAACCCTTCTGCCTCTATTTGTAACTAGATCTGTCCTGGATGCCTCCAAGGCCTTGGCAAATATTACATATATATATCATGTATTACATATGCAGCAGATCACCTATTAACATTTACCTTCATTTCAAAAGTTGAAAGGCAGACTAGATGACAGCTACAGCTTTACTCCATGCATGTGACAGGCAAGATCAGATCAAGGAAACGAAGATGTAGGGCCACTCCTCCACTTAAGCAGAGTAAGATGGAAGTGGATGCTGAGGCTGATGGCGAGTGAAGGCAAGGCACCAAGGTGGCCAGATGGGAGCTGCCAAACAGGGAGCAATCCTCAGAGAAGAATCCTCAGAGAAGAGGACAAAAGAAATCACCGTTAATAAGTGTACATAACCATGGATCACGGGTCGGTACATCTGATCAGCCACTGCAGGCACTTCCCATAGCAAAGAAGGCTGCAGCTGTGAAAGCACCGAGGTCAAAGTGGAGTCTCATAAATGCCACCATTGCAAATATCATCACTCAGCTGTAACTGCCAAATTATATTTGGCATAAAAGTGGCTTTGTAGTTTTCTTCACTCTTTTCATGTTTTTTGTTGAAATTCACCATAAAAAGTACAGTGTAACAAAAATTCATCAGCAGCATTCATGACTTGGTCCAAAATAAGGATCAACTTATCCATCCAATATGCCACAAATGCATTTTCTTACCCATATTTAAATATTGATTTCTCCATAGAATCATTTTAGCATGGGTAAATGGATCAATATGTGATGTTATGCGACATACTTCTCTAGCAGCCTTTATTTGGTACCATTTTAGTGTGCTGAGAACCTAATGGGATCCATTTGAGAAAAGATCCAGAACTGATCAGGGTGGAAAATCTAAGCTCAGTGGAAAAAGAAATTTAGTACAGGTCAACAAATACATCCAATGATTACACAGAAAGCCAAACCCACTTTCTTTATTTGAATGCGGCATTCTTTTCAAAGATATTCATGGCATGGCAACCCCCCAAAAAATTATACAACAGAGCACAACATTTTTGAAAATATTTGCTAGGTAAAGATAAAGGAATCCTGCATGTAACATAAACAAGCTGAGGTATAATATTAATTTTAAATGTATTAGTCTTACTGCACAAACCATGCTTTAAAGATTGCAGAGTATCTATATTCTGTGAGAGCTCCTGTATCAGCTTTTTCAAGTCAACTCTTGATCATTTGGGATGTGTCTCTGAGAATAAATATTCCCAGAGAAGTAATGAGATCTGAGCACTATCAAAATTGCAAATTAGCAATGCTCTATGAGATACACTGTTTCCAGTCAGCATAATTTCAAACCGTAACTGGTAAACTAAATAGTCAGACAATAATCACCTTAATTATTGATCAGATACATCAAAACTAGAACACACAGAAGTTGTGAGATAAACGACAAGGGATTGTCAGCATAAATAATAATTTTAAATATAAACAATTATGCACAAGGCTTTATATAATACCATTCAGTCTTGATGGCTTTAGAAAGAAATCAAATATCAATGAAAAAAGTAGACATCTCTGTCGGCTACTTCTCCCAAGTGCCAAAGAAATCTCCGGTCATAACACTGGCACCCATTTCAAAACCTTTGCAGGGAAGTCAAAATTTAATGGTCAGAAAACTTAAATTCCACTGAGATCTTCTCAGCAGGCAAAGAAATGATGGCAGCCAGATCTGGTCTATCCCCTTTTAAAGATGAGACTGCAAGGAATCCTGTAGCTTACAACATGAGGACAAGAGGTCATGGGTCCATGCCCTAAAGCTATTAAATCAACAATTAGCCCTCTGTCTGTATTTAATAAATCTCACCTGTAATAGCTTGGTGAGATCCACTAGCCAGAATTGCAGTTGCTATCTTAATATCCATGTTCATTAGCAAAATAGGTTGATAGCATCATGGGTGCTGCTTGCTAGGCTTAGGGGTCCCTGTAATGCAAAGAAGCAAGGAAGTCTGATTCAAAAGTATGGTAAGGCTTGGAACCAACAGGCTGGAAAATATTTCATACTGCTCAACTGGAATCCCGCCCAGACCATGTGATATCCCATTATTCATATTCATAATAACATTTGTAATTTACTCCATATGCTGAGGAGGCAGGAGAGGCTGCTGTTGTGAGGAATCTGAACTGCAAGAGTAACACAAGGAGGGAAAGTGTCCTTGTCCTGTTTTAACGGTTTGCTACCCACTCAATATAAATCAGAATAAAGTTTCAAAATATATATTTTATAAATGGAACAGAGCTGTATAGTGTATCACTCTCATCAGAAGTAATATTTTGAAGTTTTTGCTGTTAAGGACGATGTTCCAAAATTTTACTGAGGTGATCACCGTTTTCCCATTTTGTCTTCATAAGCAACTTAAAGCAAATCCACTCACTGTGAAAAGATGTTATTAAACGCATATGCAACATTCTGCACTTCTGATAAAGCTGTGCAATTGCACAAACAGCAAACTGGGTAATAAGAGATTTCAACTTCCTATTGAGGAGCAGTTCTTGTATTTTGAAAAAGACATCTTAGAGGAAGCACAAAAGATTTACTGGCCTCTTACTCAATGGTTCAAGAATTAACTGTGCCTTTATATTGAAGACATATTGAACCATCAGAGACTTACTCAATTTGGCAAATCCAAAAATGGCAACTCCAAGAAAACGGTGATACGGTGTGATAGTACCAGTGTACCAATCTTGCAAACATTTATTTGACATAATAAAGATACAGAAAAAAAATCTGCATTTTAAAAATCTTCTAAAAATCATAAAAAATCAAACTAATGTTCATTATGTTAATCTTTACACAATCTAAAGTAAAAATCGTATTACCCAAATAGGGCTAACTTTCTCTCCCAGCAGCCCCCCCATATAAAATGAGAATGGGATAAAGAAATCAAAAAAGAACACAGCTTGAACAAAAAGTGGGAAAAAACTTTTTGCCTTCCAATAAAGACTACAAAGTAATTCCCACACCTTTTCAGTGTCATTATTAGATACAAGCCCATATAATTTGTGGTCAAAGAAGAGTGCTTCTCTTTGGCTGCTCTTCTCTCTCTCTCTCTCTTTCTGCTTTACCTGACCTTGCTAACTGGAAAAAGACAAAGTCGGCCAGGAACAGAAGGATGCACAAAGAAGCAGTTTCTCTTGATTATGCCTTGCTCTCCCTCAGTTCTTCCATTGCTTCTCTGGAAGAGCTGCAGGGCTGCCTTACCTGCATGAGCAGGCCCAGGAGTTCAGGTGGGACTCTGAGGATCTGCCCCAAACACCTCCACTGCCTTCCTAGGTGGTAACTGGAGACAGGACAGGACATTGAGTCAGTGTCATTGCTCTTATGGCAGCAGACCAAACCCTTTTGTTAAAACAAATGCTATAAGCTGCCCTTTTAATCTTTTCTGCTGTTCCTTGTTCTAACTACATATTTTGTCAATTTGATAAGAGCTGTACTAGGGAGCAGCTGGTAAAGAACCTTGATGAATAAAGAGAGATGCAAGAGAACTTTGTCTAGACTTTCCCACAGATCCCTTTTGCAGGCAAACAGCATGGTCTGCCTTCCCCCTCTCTATCCAGTGTAAAGATTAGTGGCTATTTTGGGATGCAGGTACAGAAATGTACAAGTTAAATGCTAACGGGAGACTCAGCCCATCTTCCATTCATTGGCACCAAGAACAAACAAGGGAGAAGTCTGGGTAAATATAATTGTCTTCAAACCCCACCCCCCAATCATCAGTAGCAGCATTTACGAGATTTTCTATCTCACCCTTCCTCACATGCAGTGCAGTGTTGCATTTTCATAATGGCTAGAAACTTGGGTATGTGAAATGACACTGTGAAATGACATTTCAAAGTTGTTTCTCTCACATCATTTTTTTCCAAGTCACTGATTTTTTCTCAGCAAAATTATGAAATAAGTAAGAATATCTCACAGAAGCCTTGAGATGATTTATCCAAAAGCAGAACTAGAGGTTTTGAAAATACCCCATGCTATATTTGGGCAGGGAGAGATGAATTAGCTGTGCAATCCTATGCATATTTTCATTTTTATTGGTTTATTGTTATTTTTAAGTACGACCCCATTCTCATATGCTCTGGGCTTCTTACCAGTTAAAATTTCAACTAAAACCCAGCACATGTAATCCAAAGTAAGTCCTGCCATGTTGAATGTGATTTCCTCACAAACACTTGAGCTAAATAATCAGTAAAATAGATGAGCAGGGCAAGGTGGTGGTGGTGGAGGAGGAGAGCTGCTTCTTCACAAAACACTGAGACAATTTCACAAAGTCTGGTTAAATCAGTGTTTTGGCACTGTATTTTGGGAGCTGTACTAGAAAAAAAGAATGGATTGAGGTAGTGAGAGTTTCTGACATGGAGCCAAGCCTTAGCAAGAAATGGTAAATTGTCTCTAGTTGGGTAGAAATGGGACACAGAGACCTCTTGGGCCAGATGCACTCAGTTCCTAGAACTGATTCTATACAGAGAAGAAAAGAGGGAAGTACAATTTCTCTAGTTTTCAGAACATCACTGTTCATTAAGGATGCTTGATAAGGCATGAACAGGGATAATGACTCTAGAACAAATTGTTTACTTTTCTGCCAGCAGAAGGGCATCTGAAGAAACGATCCTAAGGAGATCGGCGAAGAAGCAGATACAAGGTGTTGAGCTGCCATGATCGAGCTCCAGAGGTTGGCACTTCCCTTCCCCAACTACCACCAGAGGGGCTTCTGAGAAACATCTTGCTCCGAGGAGAGGTGAGAAGAAACAGGTTAGGATGGAACTCGAAAGCAAAGAAAATGCAGAGGAGAAGAATTAGTAGCAAAGAACAGGCCAGTTTCTCAAGAGAATAGATAAAGTGTGGACAAATAAGGAACACATCTGGCTTCTCCTGCTCCCCTCCTTGCAATCTCTTTCACGGGGCACAACAATCCACCATGGGTGATGCGCCTCAGTGTGTGGCTGTTGCATGCAGGCTCAGCCTGATTCCCACAGGTGACCAGCAAACCCAACGGCCCAAGTTTTGTTCCAGGATTTCTTGTATCCACAATGAGTTGGGATGTCATCTGCAGCTGGGTAACTGACCCCTTTGCAGATTGTGGAGAACGGCTAGCGAGCTGCTCAGCAAGAGCAGCAAAACCCCTTGCCACTTTTCCAAGCTGGCTTTCGCCACCACCAACATCTGCCACCTCACTGATGCCCAAGTAGCATGGAGGAGCCACGATCATTGGCTTTTTGCCTCCTGCTTGGATGTCAAGATCTCTCATGATAACTGCAGCATGTTTTCCCTTTCAACTGTTTTCTTTTTCAGATATTGCGTTTCACAATCTCGGATTCTACAGCTAGTAACAGCCCTTACAAAGGGCCCAAGTGTCACACTGAAGGAGCTGTCACTATTTTGTCACCCTATTTAATCTTTTTTTTAGCACAAGGAATTAGCAGAACCGTATTTGAACAAACAATTCAGATTCTTTTTTTAACAAAGGTCTGAAATGGCAAGCTTGAGTGCATAGGTCTCTGTCAAAGACTACTTTTAAAAGGGACAGAATCTTGACAGCTAGCTGACAAATCTCCATGCACCTGTAAAAGATGGTGGCTGACACTCTTCCTCTTTCTTGCAACACCTACAATTTCAGGAAAGAGTGGAAATGTGTGGGGACAAGAGTCCCTGTCACCCAAAACCCAGAGAGCCTCACAGAAAGTACATGATAGATTGCTATCCTCCTTCATAAGCAAAGATCACTGGCATCTTTGGTTTATCCTGACAGCTGGCCTTCTTGACAACTGTCAAGAGAAAGCAAGACAAAAATGAATCCCTTAGCTACCTTTCGGAGTCAGTGCTTACGATGGGTGGTTCTTACACTTTAATGCAGGCCTCCCACCCCTGGAACATTGCTCAGGCTTGCCATTTTGAACCCATGCAAACGTTTACTTGTAGTAGTCCAACTGAAATATTCATTTAAAGAATATTTGAAAAAATTACACAAAGTGCTTGTGCTAAGCAAGAGGCGCACAGCTGACAAACTGGGGACTGTTCCTCTAGTTAAAGGAGAAAAAAGCACTGTTTGGACCCCAGGAAGGGTCTGCCACTAACAATCAAAATGGAAATTGTGAAAAATTATATCTGAGGGGAGGGATTAAAAAGACACGGGGCTCATAACCAGAGTAGCAAGAGGGCAGACAAGTGAGGCCTGCCATAGCATCCCCTGGGCACATGAAGAGTTTGTGGGAGGAGGAGGAGACAACCCATGGTAAGTAGTGATCCTGAGGGCAAGGCCTGTCTGAATAGTGTTCTTTGCAAGGTACTCTTGAAGTCTTTTGACTGAAATGCTTTGAATAAATAAATTACTGCATGCATTTTCAAGGGGAAGATGTGCTGAAATAAATGCTGGCAAAAAAGTCAGGAAATTGGCACTGGGGAAAAAAAGAAAACCCTTTAATCTACTGATAACAATAATTTTGAAAAGGACTCTGTGTATTGAGAAAACAATATGGAGAAAGGGGGAAGAGGGAATCAAACCCCAAAGGCAGGAGACTACAAGAAATGGCCTGTAGTCTTGGCTACTTTAAAAGATGTGAAATAGTTTCAGAGCTAAAGATAAGATATCTGGAGGCCTGTTCATGTGGGATAAGAATTTTCACTAGGGGGCAGCCTTTAACTGATATCTTAGATTAGTGTTAAGTCTGCATGATCTGATTTCAATTAAAAATTGGCCCAGAAGGCAATTATACTCCTTGCACAGCTCCTAGGGGAAAATTATGCTTTCAGAAACTGTTGAATCAGCACACTCTCGCAGTTGTAAGTACAGGAAGGAAAAGCTCTTGCATAACATCAGAATCTCAGTGCGCGCACACGCACACCCACATTTCACTATGGAACTTTTTGTATGCTGACAAAACACAGCACACACTTTTTCCCAAGCAACAGAAAATTGTTCCTGGTTTCCTTCCAATAAAATTACAGTAAAAAGCAAGGTTGCGAGGTAAAGCTAGTTCTGTGAGGCTAATCCGTGGAGATGTGGGAAGGGAATGGTTGAAAGGGATTTGACAACCTGATCCGGCTTCAGGAAGAGTTCATAGAAAGTAATTATAGGTGAGCTGATAGGGTCGCGTGTGCCGTTCAGGACAGCCCAGAGTTCTGATCACTACAGCCGGCTTTATTCACATTGCATCTGAAGGAATGTCGTTGGCTCCCTTTCACTCTGGGGCCCAGCGCAAGGTACTGGTACTTAAAGGTAAGACACTAAGTGGCAGGAGGGACCTGAATTCCCATGGGCACGTCTCTTCCCATACTTGGATTTCCATGCCTTGGGATCCTCTACTGAAGAAGCCCTTTTCACTGCTCTTCTCTATGGTAAGGGCTGGAAAGGAGGGGCTTTGTCAGAAAGCCTTCCCCAAGGAGGCTTGCCTAGGACCTGTGGTACAGTTCTTGTAACTACAGGTTAGAATGTTATTTCTTCTGGTATTTATAATAGCCTAAGCCTTAGCCCATGTAACAGGTCTGGGCCACAGTCCTAGGCTTCCTAGGAGGGTGGCCAGGGGACTGGGACAAATGCAGTTTCCTCTGTTTTGCCCAGACTGTAGACATAGCTATAATGTGGGCAGTGGGGAATCCAAACTGAGAGTTCTCCCCTTCCAGCCACATGGAGAGCTCCACACCTTTTGCTGTTGCATCCCTGGAAGAGGGGAGGGGAGAGAGGACAATGGGTGGGAAGGTGAAAGAAGAGGAGATTCACCGGATCTCCACCTCCCTCATCCACAGTAGAGTAAGACTGCTTGAGAGACTAAGAGGCTGACAAAGCCTTTAAGGCACCCCAGCAGGTGGAAATGCCTTCAGTGTGGGGAGGAAGGCAGCAAAGCCTGTGTCTTCTCCTTCCTAGTGTGGTGTGAGGGTAGAGCACGGGACTGAGGGCGTAGGAGACCCAGGTGTGAGTCCCCGTTCTTAGCCTAGCCTACCTTGCAGGGTTCTTGTGGCAAGGATAAAAATGGAGTGCAGGAGAAGTATGGAAACTGCCTTGGGTTCCTCGCAAGAAGAAAAGAAGCAGGATATGAATGGAACATCGTAAAAATGTGACGCATCTTGAAAACTCTGCACAACAGCTGGTGGCAATGCGGGCGTCATGGCCACTGAAAGGCCACCTCCAAATGTAAGATGGCAAGATCCTTTTTCTTGGGGACAGAGTGGAGGTGCAGGAGATGCAGTGAGCATTAGGAATATGCAAGGAACCCATTTCGTGTGGAAAATATGTCCGATTCCCCAGCTTTGGCTTCCTGGCCTCCTGTCCACTTTGGCCCTGAGTCT